TGATAAATGATTTCAGCTGTATTACTTTATTATAAATACTGATTAAATAATTTCTATATAAATGAAATAAAGTGCAGCTGCAGTTGGATTATACTCCATGTCAGGGCTGCCTTTATAATTTCCCACAAGTTGACATTTGCAAAAACCCAAAGATATTCAGTTTACTATAATGTACGACAAAGAGAGAGAAGCTGGCAAATGTTCGGCATCTTTGCTTAAAAATATGGCTGAAAGATTATTCGCTTATTAAAATAATGGCCAACTAACTGATGCATTATCAGCACCTTAATATTTCAAAAGCAAGCAGACCTTAAGTTAGCTTCCTGTGAGACTGTTGACAAATAATATTTATGTACTTATCTTAACTAGCATTGCCCGGGGGAGGATTTTAAATGTCCTGTAAACAGCCTTGAATTGATTGATTGGTGTTGCGGGGAAGTTTGTTCATTCATCACTCGCAGACAGCTGCTGATTGGTTTTTGACAAAATGTTGAGTTTCACCTCTGCATATCAGCCAAATGGCACTGATTAGCCGAAGGGGATGATTGCGTCGCTCCTGAGGGATGACATGTTTACCGTTTCCTTGTTTCTAAGTTGTCGCTACCTCTGGCTCATGTTGGTGGAAAATAAATTTATGGATCAGACTCAGCAATAAATAGCATCTGAATAGCTTCTGCCCTGGGAGCAACAAAGAGAAAAGGCTTCCCTTGGCAATTTCCTGTGTGTTTGTGCCAGGCCCTCGTCTCCCCGTGGCAAGGTCCCTTCTCCCAGCTCATCAATGAGATGCTCAGATGAGCTGGCTTAGTGGGAGTTAGAGTAGCACTTGCTGGCCCACTCTCTCTATTTTTCACATAAGAGTGTACACACCAGAAGCTTCCTCTCCAGTCTCTAATCTTAGCCTTGGAATATAGAAAGCCAAGGCAGGCTACGTCTGCCTCATCTCGTCGGCTTTACGTGTTGTTTTTGCAACAGTTTAAGCCTTTGATTGATTATTATTTTCACCATCAGTCGATCTATAGATTATTTTTAGCCACAGGCCGCTCTGGGTCAGTCGGTTGGATCGGTTGTCCATCACTTTGGCCAATGAATATCTGATGCATCGGCACAAAATGTCTCATCAAATAATAGATGGATCGCCATGACAACTGGCACACACATTCATGCACCCCCCAGGATGAATTGGAATAATAAAGACCATCTGACTTTTCATCTAGCCCCACGAGGGGTGCAACGCTTTGGTTTGTGACCAAATACGTCAAAATGAATGCCGTTCCCATCAGCCTCAGCTTTACTATACTATTAACTATACTTTCTAATTTAACAAATGTTGGAATGCAGTTGTTAGCTTTTATTTTGAGCATAGCGTCATAAAGCCGCTAACATGACTGTAGACTCGTAGTTTTGTTTTCAGATTAGTTAATTAATCACTTTTCTAAATTGTTACAAAAGTTCCCAAACCCAAAAAAGACACGTTCAAGTTGCTTTTGTGTGGTTCAAAAGTCAAAGATATTTACTTTACAACCTTTAAAAAGAAAGAAAAGCAACAAATTCTGACATTTGAGAAGCTGGAGCCAGCGAGTACTTGACAAGTCGTGGATGATAAATGACTTAATCAATTACCAGAATTGTTTGATTGGCAAATTAATGAATTGACCAATCCTTTCAGAAATGGAGTAGTTTACAGTATTCATGTATTTGTGTGGTTGTTTGTGGGCTCGAGAGGATCGTTGTTCCACAGAGGAAACAAAACACAGAAGAGTAGAGCTTTAGGTTTTTAGATGGATGGTTTTCATTTGCATCAAAGCTTCCAGACCATGTTTAAACCCCCGAATGCTGCAGACGTTACGTAAATCAACCAAGTTATCCTTCACATGTCTTTGTCAGCTTCTTCACTTGTGAAAAATCTAATTAAGAGCATTTTTACAGCAAGTTTTAAGGCCAGTAGTTCCCTCGGAGGGGAAAGAAATTGGAGAGAGAAGAACATTCTGCATTCACAGTCTTTCATACATTTTTTATTTCTCGGAGATAAGCAGAATCTCCCAGTCAAAAGTGAATATCCGAATACTCCTTTATACTTTCCCCGGACAAATGCCCTGCTGTGTTTGTGTGTCCACCCATCTGTATGATAATCTAAATGGCCTCAGTGCAGACCGAGGTCATAGGACGAGCAGTGGCCAGATATCTGCTCACGTGTGTCCTCTGAGACATATGGTGCCTCTGTGTGTTCACATGTTAATAATTTCCCCACTCTCACCCTCAGACCGACTTTCCAGTGGGGATGTTCGATACGTGTGCGGACTGCCGAGTGTGAGGCGCTGCTGACCGCGTGTTTATACACTCGAATCTCCTGCAGCCCGCTGATTTATGACCGGCCTGTTTTGTATGTGTATGTGTGTGTGAGAGGCAGTGAAGGAGGGGAAGGCAAAAACGTTGGTTTGTGCAAATGAAGGCTGGTCACAAAAAACACAAAAACACAAAACACACAACCTTGAATCCAATCCAATTGAATTCAAGGTTGCTTCTGTTGTGTTTTGTTGTTTTTGTTGTTTTTTTTCAGCCTAAAGCAGGAGGTTTTATTGTGCGCTGCGATAGGAAGATGATGCCCTGTATCCTGTTCATTGTTCAGTGATCGTCATTAGGGACTAATAACTCAGGCTGCGTTTGATAATGTCTTTTAATTACTCACTTTTCTGCTGATTACTTCTTTGATTAACCCTTTGCTTCCCACCGATCCAGCCAAAGGACGCTAACCCTTGAGGCAAGTACTATGAAAAGCCTCAATTAACATGTAACATGTTTTAGAAACACACTGTCGAACTCACAAATCTGAATTAACTCAGCAGAACCACATTTATTCCGCACATTCACAACGCCTCAATTACCAACAATGTAACTTGACCATGAACAATATAATGATTTGAACTCATCTTTGAACTCTTTACAAAAAAAAAAAGCCCTAAACATAATCCAGATTAAGAATATGGTGCCTTCAGAGGTCCGGACATTTCAGGGTTAATGGCCTTATCCCTACAGCTATAAATTGTTAAAATCTCATCACAGGCTAGCAGTGAGTGTGAAAAACTGCCTCGTTGGCTCGACCAGCGGTGAAAATAAATGCAAACGAACCCTCAGCTCGTGAATCCACAAACAGCAAATGTTCTATATTTTCCCTTTTTTTTATGTTGATGGCCTCAAGCGTTATTTACAACACGGATTCGCACCGGCTGCATTTCTGGCTGGACTGGTGAATGTGCGATGTTCTGAGGGTGTTAGCCATCTGCACTCAGGAGTATCGAGAAGTATAATTTAATTCAGAAGAGCGGAAATTTATATGAATGACTCTCGGTTAATAAATAAAGATTGCAAAAAGTTTAACTCGATGTTTTATTGGACTTATTATTCACCGATGACGATTGCTGACTCCGCAGGCTGTATCACAAGCTGTACACCCCCAAAAAAGCCACAGCACGCGATTAAAATGTCATATATATTCTGCTCATCTATGTGTAAGAAAAAGACAAAAAAAAAAAAATACCCGCCTTCAGCAGTTGTCTCGCGTGTGTGTGTGTGTTTTACAGCTTAGTCTGTCTGCGTGTGTGTGTGCTTTGCTGCCGTGGCAACAAGACTTACCACATACTAATATTTTAGGTTGCCTTACATAATCGTCTGCTTTTGTCAATACAGAGAGTGGATTTTCAGTACAAGAGGCACTGGGGGCTGCTTGAATGGAGCCCTGGGCTGCACACTGCTCCACTAACTGACCATTGTGCAGTCTTAAGACAGATTTACTGTCTCATCAGCTCCCTTTTTCCTCCTCTTTCCCTCCCAGTCTAAACACCAGAGTCCTCTCAAAGACTGCGCACTCATTACTCCTTTGATCCTCTTGTTTTTCTTTCTTGGCTTTGCTCTTACTTTACGTCTGTCTTTCTCGCCAACATGGTTGTGTGTACTTACTAAGAGCTTTTCTGTGAGGCAACATAAACACACCTGCTGTTTTTATATCAAATGGCACAAGATTGTGCCGCAGGTTTTTTGGTACATCGTTTTTAGCCGCAGAGTCTTTCTTCTGTCTGCAATTTATGTAATTTTTATGCCTCTTGTAGTAGTAGTTTTTACTGGCAGTGTAGCACTTTGTCTCCTAATTTAATTTCCTCTTTGAAGTTGTTGAATAAGGCAGTTCTTAATACTAGTGTAGATTGGTCCACCACTTTGGTCCGGACTGAAATATCTCAACAACGAGTGGATTGTACAGACATTTATGGTTCCAGAGGATGAATCCGACTGACTTCAGTGAGCCCCTCCATGAGGTTTAAATTCGTCGCTTTTAGTTCAATGTTTAGTGCAAGTTAGCAAATGTTAGCAAGCCACTACGCTGAACTAATATGATGGTCATGGTAAAACATCATACTTGCTGTACATCAGCATGTTTAGCATTGTCATTTAGCCGTAAATACAGCCTCACAGAGCTGCTAACATGGCTGGGTGCATAGTTAAGTCTGACAGCTTGTACAGACGTCAGAGTCTGAAGTCTGAGCAGGGATTTGCTTTTAGCACCAGCATGTATTGTGTCTCTTTAGTTTCTATTGCAGGTATAGTACTTGTTGTAATTCAGTGGCAGCAGTCTCTCTGAAGTTGTTGAATGAGGCATTATATAATTTTGTGCCTCACAAGTACAGCTCTCCACAACAGTTATTATCATAGGTGCACCTATGTGTGAGAGGAAATACATCACGAGGCTAAAATAGCAACAACAGAGTCAGATTGTGTCTGGCTTTTGATTTTAAAGCCGTCATCGTATCAGCTGCACTCGAGATAACACCCTGAATGCTGAATGTTTGTTTTATATATATATTTAGCTGACTCGATTGGTCAATGGACGCTGACTATGAACTCAATATATTTGGGTTTTGGACTGTCGGTCGAAGAAAACAAGACATTTTAAGACGGAAACTCATTTTAGAATTACATTTTATCATCCTCTTCTGTATGTGTGTCCATAGGCAGAGCGCAGCAGTTCCGATGTCAACATCCTCAGCATCCCGGTGCCCATCCGTCGCGGCGGCTCAGAGTCCAACCTGGATGTGGTGGACAGTGTTGGAGATGACGGAGTGGGCCTGGATTTCACCAAGGGAGCGCTGGGTATCGACAGCCTGCAGCAGAAGATCCTCAAGGTAGAGAGTAAAACACGAGTCACCTCCTGTGCACAGCCTCTTTGTAGATTCACTGTGTTTGATTTGCAGAACGGTGAGCACACATGTGACGCGTGGGACCTTCTGCACAAACATTACACAAGAGTGAATATTAAATACATCCTTAGCTCGGTTTGGTGGCTGTAGAGCTGTGTTTCTTAATCCAATAATGAGACGGTTCTCATTGAGATTTCCGCTATGACGCTACAGATACCAATCAGAAAAAGCTATTAAATTGATTTGTTGCAGTATTAAATTGTATTCTATCCCATCTTGTAATTCATTTTCGGCCTAGTCTCAGCTTTCACATGCTTTCTCAGAGTGGAATCATTCCCACCATAGGACGATTATGCATCAGTGCAATTTATCTTCATATCTCTCAGTTGATTTAGTGGTTTATCCTAATTTTTTTCCTAATTTTTTTCCCTTTTGGGGCCATAACAGAAACCAAATGAAGAGATTATAAACAAATAATGTTATGAATTACGGCTCCCACATACACACTTCTCCTCAAAATGATGTGTGCTTCACAATAGATGAATTTTAACGTGAAGGCAGTGGTAGACCTTCAAAGTAAACTGGAAGTCTTAAGAATGCTAAAACAATGCTAAAAAAGTTGTTTCTCTAACAGTAGATTAAAATATTTTCTGCACTTTTAGTCTGGAGGTAATTTTGACCTGTTCCATGGGATTTGTGCTTTTTACGCTGTCAGGAAAAAAACAGAACTGAGTCAGATATGAGCAATTAGATCTGATTTAGGCCTTTTCACACCTGCAGTGTGACTGTCACCATGTAGTGAAGAAGTGCTCTGTCATCCATGTTAACTTCTAAATCTACTTCTAAATCATTTCCGCACTGGGAGCTTTGCATATTTTACATTTTGGAACAAATTTCACTCTCCCATCAGGTGACGGAGCAGATTAAGGTGGAGCAGACGGCTCGAGACCAGAATGTCGCCGAGTACCTAAAGCTGGTAAACAACGCTGACAAGCAGCAGGTGGGGCGAATACGCCAGGTCTTCGAAAAGAAGAACCAGAAGTCGGCGCACACCATCGCCCGGCTGCAGAGGAAACTGGAGCAGTACCACCGTCGCATGAAGGACAGCGAGACTAACGGGAAGCACGGCCACAAGGATGGCAGCAGCAAGGAGTCTGGGACTCACAGCAAGGAGGGCAGCTTGCGGGACGTCAGTGTCACCGGGAGGCACCCGGCGCTGGATAAAGTGAAGACAATCGGGCCCGGTGTGTCGCTATCACCACCCTTCTTCTTCAACAAGTCGCGGGAGTTCGCCAACCTCATCAGGAACAAGTTTGGAAGCGCCGACAACATCGCCCACCTCAAGAGCTCCATGGAGGCGGGGTCTGGGCTGCAGGTGGACAGCGGGGCGAGGGGCCTGAGCGGGAGCGCCAACACAGTAGCCAAGACGACCAAGTATCCGAGCGACGACGAGTGCTCCACGGGGACGTCTGCGTCTGCCGACTCAAACGGGAACCCAGCTGGGGGCTCGGGCGCTGGGTCTGGAGGCCCCGGGAGGTCAGACTCCAACGGGCGGCTGGGGGAGGTGCTGGACATGGTGCGGGAGATCAGGGATGCTCAGACGCAACTGGCAGAGGACATGGAGACTCTGAATACACAGTTCAAACGAGATTACAGCTACTTCACACAGATGATGCAGGAGGAGAGATACAGGTAGGCTCGTGTGTTCAGGATGGCTCATAACACGGCGCCAGTATCGATGTTACACCCACACATGACACACATACCCAGTGATGGTCGGTTAAAATACGCTCAAACAGAATTTTAAGTAAGTGGGTCAAGCAGCACTCTATTAGATTAATAGCAACAGAATGAATGTTTCAGGCTCCTCTCAGTGTGTGATGACCAGGAGTCTTTATATAGTTCATTTTATTACATTTAAAACATAACAAAGTTAGTAAGATGGAAATAAATCAAAAGAAAAATCAAGACTCGAGTCCATTTGAGGGTAACCAGACCATATTATGTATCTGTATGTAGCTCGATGGTGTCTTTAATGAAACCCTTCCTGCCTGGTAATGTCTTTAAATCTCGATGGCGCTCCTAGTTTGTAACACATGCTTTCTATTAAAACGTGTACTTACTGAGATAACCCTGTTTATGTCAGTCGAGTAATGTTCTTCCATTTAAGAAATGTTCTCCAGAGCCACATAAGATATTTAACAACCGGACGTGTGTTGCTCTCTGTCGCTAGGAAATACATTTATTCCATAATCTAGATCAGTGAATCCTAACTTTGAGGTCCAAGTTAAATGAAATTAAAGAGAGAACTTTTATATTAGTTAAACAAAATCATGCATATTTTTGCTCTGGCTTTTCTTTAAAAACACTTTTAACCTCCTCATGCCTCTAAGTGCCCTTTTAAAATATATGAAATGAAAAGAAATAGTTTCACACTTCTGCTGCAGGTGCCTGACGATGAATCCAGTAATCCTCACCCCGCAGTAACACTCCTAACTGGGTAAATTGTGTTTGCACATCTGCTGTTGAACTTTAAAGAGCTTTTGACAGTTTTAAGAGGAGCCATTATTATAAGCTTTGTAAACTAAAAATAGATAGCAGAGCTTACATACAAACCCCCAGACGGTTGCTAAGTCAACCAAGGGCAAATGTTTCAGCAGCTTAGTTGCAAGTAGTAGATAAACTACTGTACTGTTACTCGCCCACACACACACTCAATTATGCATTGTTTCTCCCTCTCTCCTCTTGGCTCTCTGCCTCCACCTCCTCTTCGTGTGTGTGTGTGTGTCTGTCAGGTATGAGCGGTTGGAGGACCAGTTAAATGACCTGACAGAGCTCCACCAGCACGAGACCAGTAATCTGAAGCAGGAGCTGGCCAGTATTGAGGAGAAGGTGGCTTACCAGGCCTATGAGAGGGCCAGGGACATACAGGTAATGTGTGTTTTGTGGACGTACACAGCCACACAGTTATAGCTTATATGTAGCAGTTATATAATACACCACACACTCACATTTAGCCTTTGATTAACATATATTTAAACAAGTACAGTGCGGCAATTTATTTATTTTTCTTTCAGACTATACAGGCACTTAACTTATAGTACTGAAATTAATATTTTATGTATTAATGTCATTTATAAAGCATAAATGCACTGTTTGCAGATTCTTAAATGTGAGCGTTTGTTGAGTTTCTGTTTTATTTCATTGTAACATAAATAGAGTTGCCAAGTGGGATGGTTTAAGATCCTCCTGGTTCTCATTGTGAAAGTACAGTTGGTTAATTTTCTCCACAATGTTGGGGGATTTCCACAGCACAGATGAGTTTGAAATTCTCCCAACTGAACTATCAGTCCAAAAGATAAAGAAATATATACATATATATGAAGATATCTGGTATCTAGCCTTAATATAAGACAAACTGTGAATACCAAGGTACATTTCTGTTAAAATGATCCAACCAGAGAGCTTAAGATTAATGTTAATGGCAGCCGAAGCTGGAGAAACTCTGATTAACTGTGGTATTAAAACCATTTTGAATTTGTTATAAACTCTGAATCATGGATCTGACTGACCTCTTCTCTATACAGTAGCCAAGGCTTATGGGTATTGTAGTTTTTTAGAGTTGTGCGCCAAAAAACAAAAAGAAAAACACAATTTCCCAGAAATAATTAAAACTGATGGTCAGAAACCAATAAAGTTGTTACATTATTGTTTTGGCCCAACTTATTTGCCTGTTCCTTTCCAATTGGTTGTACAATTCCCATCAGTTTTCTTGTGTAATTCGGGGCAAGAAAAAGACAGACAGGTAAGAATGAAAGAGAGAGAGAGAGCGAGAGGAAGACATGCAACAATATCTCCGGTTTGATTTGGTTACATGGCACACACCATCTCCACCTCCAGCATCTCCTATTTATTTCTAATGTGATACACAACTCCTGTTCTAATGAAGTTAATGTCAGTTCCAGTTTCACTGCCCTTCCCTTGTGACTCATAGTTCTCCAGTATTTCCCCTGATCTTAACTATATGGTGTATATTGTTTTTTTTTAATGTGTGTGTGTGTGTGTGTAGGAGGTCCTGGAGTCGTGCCAGACTCGTGTCTCTAAGCTCGAGCTCCAGCAGCAGCAGCAACAGACGGTTCAGGTGGAAAACACCGACGCCAAGGTGCTGCTGGGGAAATGCATCAACATCATGCTGGCTATCGTCACCGTCATCTTGGTGTGCGTTTCCACAGCAGCGAAGTTCACCGCCCCGCTGCTGCGGAGCCGCCTCCACCTGGCGCTCACCTGCGTGGGCGTGTCCTTGTTGGCGCTGCTGTGGAAGAACTGGGAACATTTACAGTGCGCTTTGGAACGATTGGTCCTGCCGCACTGATCTGGGAACTACAAAACGAGACCAGAACACGAAAAACAACTGGGGACGAGTTTACATGTAGCCTTACACCCTTGTTCCCCCGGCGATTTTAGGCTCCATGGTGATTTATGGCTGTGTGCTTTGCATGTCTAAATGGGGTCCACACAAATCCGCAAAAAGCCTTTCCCAGAATGCACCTCCACAGTGATTCCAACAAACAAACTCACACGTGTAAGCTGATATAAGTTATCAAAACTGTAACTTAACAACATGCTGTCTGCAAGAAGGTGCAAACATACGAACTGCAGTGACAGTGAATCACTACAGTCCAAAGTATCGGACCAATAAGAGACGAATCGGCTGGAATTGATCCGGTGACAGCCATATTATTGGCTTCTGGACTCCCCCTGCTCTCATCTGGTCATCAGGAGATTCTGGTGGCACCAACAACTGACGCTAAAATCTAAATATAGAAGAGAGGGCTTCAATTGGGGCGTCGAAATACAGTTATTATTTCCTGCCCTTAAAGGGGAAGGTATCTGATATAGCACCACCTCACACCTCTGAACAAGCACTCACTGGCAGTACATGGCCGGTCAGTCAGTCTTGAACCCGCACAGTACGCCTCCTCGTACACCAGCCAGCCGTGGCAACACAAAGACACATCCACCTGATGGTTGATTTGTACCGTGTGTCTGTACTTAATTGTTCTGTATTCATGTGACGTGTTTCTTGTCTCATTCAAAAGGAAATTGTTTTAAACTGTGTGTGTGTCTGTCTGAGTGTGCATTCGTGTACTGTACGCCTGCTTGTGTGTGTTTGTACTTTGTTTCTTAAAAGAACATTTTGTGAAATACATTCTCTTTCTTGGTGAGAGTTGGGTGAGAAGAATGACACCAGTCATGTCTGTATGCTAAATATGAAAAAATAGAGCCAGGTGACAATTAGCTTAGCTTAGCATAGAGACTGGAAACAAGATGAAACAGCTAGACTTGCTCTTTATATCTATCCATGAAGGTGACAAAATTCACCTACCACCACCTGTTAAGCTCACTAATTAACACGTTTTATATATATTGTGTCATTTGTACAAGAAACGCAGTGTACAAATGACACTCGGTGCTTGTATTGGGGACTATTTCTTGGATAGAAGCATTAACATCCCGCCACAAAACCCCCCGTAAAGCCATGATCTGTTATTGGACAGAACCTGGCTAGCTGTTTCCCCCCGTTTCCAGTCTTTGAGCTAAGCTAAGCTAACTAGATCTCATTAAGGAAACTTAAAAGCATATTTCCCAAAATGTTAAACTATTCCTTGAAAGGAAAGCTTATAAACTGCCTCCTGTCTTTTAATTGAATGCTTCTGGGTTTTCTTTTTGTCATGTAATATTTGTTTTTATGTTTTTCGGGTAACAGTTGCTGCTCAAAGTTATTTGGGTAATAACATTCGGTGAGTTGACGTGCTTCACTCAGTTCTAAAGACTGCAGCTTTAGCATCCACCAGCTAGCAAGTAAACTGTGAGGAAGGCCCTGGGCGATTAGATGAAAGCTCTAAATGCGAGCACGTTTTTATTGAATTTCCTTTTTTTTTTTTTTTATTAACAAGGTGAACAGAATCAACTTGTGTTTTGTGTGAAGCCTTTTGAAGTCGTGCTGCATTCACGCCCTGTGGGAATAACCGCGAGGGGATGTGTGTTCTAACAGTTCAAAGTCTCGACTTGAAAGGATTCTCACCTGTTGAGGATAGTCTCAAGCTTCGGAGAGAGAGAGAACGTGGCTGATTATTGCTACTACATTTGAATTCCTTATAATAATTTCACACTCGACTCTCGCACAGCTGGGGGAGTGACTCATTTGAGAGGATGTCGGGAAATTAGCACAAAAAGTCCTGCCCCCGTCGTCATATTTTAAGACTTACGGATTGTAATGACTTGGAGGATAAAGATTGTTTTCTTATATTGTTTTAAAAACAAAAAAGTATGTCTGCTCTTGCAATAAGATACTAAAATGACAGTAACAATTCCCCCAAGCAGCATTTACCACTGAAAACTAAAGTGGTAATATCAATACCCATAGCAGCTGTTTTTTCCCCCTGTGCCATGAATGCAGCATTACAGATTGGATAGAGGAAAGTGAACAATGTAGCTCCATGTTCCCTAACCCTGTATCACTGTGATGATGAGGGGGATGAAATGGGACTGATGCCTTTTTCAATGCAGCTTATTACTTATACTGTGTGACATCTGTTTGCGTCCCCTCAAAAGCCAAATATGGAGAATTTTAAGGCACCTCAGCCTTTCTAAGGAACACTGAAATTACTGTTTTTATTCTCTTTTTTTTTGTTTGTTTTCCAAATTGGCTCAAACACTATTTCTGTCTGCTCTTCAGGAGAGACATGCACCTCCTCTCCAAAGCTGTATTTGTAAGTACATAATGTGTATTTTCACATTTCTGTTCTCTCCTATGTGCTTTAGTTTCTGGTTATGTTTCCATAACCTTGTTTTGTTTTTTTTCAAATGAGAAAATAAATATTTGTTTTTCTAAGCATTTTTTCCCCCAATTTTCTGTTTCCTGCTGGTGCCTTTTTTATTCCCAGAATCTCATCCATTATACATTATCCATCCAACAGGGATCAAACCACTCTGCAAGCATCATAAGGAATTCATACATAAAATGGGTGTTAATGACTGACAAACAACAGCTGCACAGTATGTTCTGTCTAGTATTATGGAGAATATGTTAGTTGATGTGAACATTATTGTGCTGTTAGTTAAAACCACATATATTTTTATCTTTTTTTTAAACCAGAATATGGCTCAACAACACTTAGTTTAGGTTATTTAGAATTTAGTGTAAGTAATTTTACTATTACATGCATTTATAATTGCGGCAGAAATCATAAATAGTTAGCTAGGGAAACTATAAATTTCAGGTTTTTCCTCACACTGTTCCTTATTATATATTGTAGCTTTAAAAAGAAAAAGTAAAATACTACTATTAATAATTATATGAGAAACGGGGTGAAAAAATTTACCTTTTTGTGTCCAAATGGCCGGTAAATGTTTACATTTTTACCAGCCACTCAATAGATTAGATTGTTTTTTGGCTGGGAAGGGAGTAAATCTAACGGCCACTTGCATATTTTATCAGCATTTGGCTGGTGCTAATTTTCTAGGTAAATACTACTGTCATATCTGTTATTTAAGCATGAAGCTACAGTAAGGAGACTCCTTTCCTTAGCTTAGCATAAACAGTCTTGCTCTGTCAAAACGTAACAAAATCCGCCTACTAAAACACTAAAGCTCATTAATTAATGTGTTATATCTTGTCTGTTGAATCCACACAAAAGCTGTAACACAAATTACACATTGTGGGGATTGTGTGCACACTATTTTTTGGTGCACTGACTTCCTGGACAACAAAAACTCCGGTACTCACTCAGGTTTTTGCACCAATTAACAATTAATTACAATAATAAACATTATTTTTACGGCGTTTTGCAAATGTAAAAGTCCTTTTACATGGTTAAAACTGAACCCAAAAACAGCCAAATATTAAATAAAATAATGTGTCCTTCTAGATATATTAGAGTAGGGTTGATAGAGAGCAGGGTCGGACACACTGAGCTGTTGACTAACATGGAAAAACAAATCAGTGTGTAATGATGGATGGTGACAGGCACAGTGTATGTGGCTGTCAGATGTCATTAGTATGGAAATGAAAGAGTTTGTTGTCCACAGACTGAAACTACTTCAGGGACATGGAATGACTTTCTGAACGCTCCTTTTGTCAACTTTTTCAATAACAGAAAGAAAGGTCCACTCGTATCTGATCAGATGTCAGTCAGCCAGAATATAATTTAATATAACCTATAATGCAGTTATTGGCTGACGTGTTCATTTCACTTCAGTTCTTTTATGAGCTTTATGAGGAGGTATAGTCATTTATTGATTTGGATTTATGGATCTATAAAAAAACACAGGATCTTTATTGCCTATTTCTAAGAGCTGTAGAATCAAGTGCAAGTCAGTCCACCTTTTTATTATTATATTTGGCCACAAATTCGAAGAAATGTGCAAAGATTTCAAGAAATAAGCAAAGGTGGGAAGTTACTAAGTACTTTTACTTTACGTTTGAGGTACCGGTACCATTTTATGTCACTTTACACTACATCACTATATTTCAATGGGAAATGTTAGACTTTTTTACATTTATTTGATAGATTTAGTCACTAGTTATGTTACTGATTATGAATACAAAACATAATCAAGAAATTAAATATGAATATAGGTAAAGATACAGTATATAAAGTGATTAAAATTAGCCTCACGTTTACCAGCTGCAATATTAAAGTGATACCTATCAATGATTATAATCCAGTAATATAATAATATTACTCTGACATGGATCATTCTGTATTATGACTACTTTTAATTTTGGTACTTTAAATATATTTTAATGCCAATCCTTCTAAACTTTAATGCAGTGTATTGGTACTTTTACTCTAATATAAAAGGATCTGAGTACTCTGAAGCAATGACAGACTGACTGATAATAAATTAACTCATTTCTGAAGGATTCACAGATGCATCCTGAAATAAATGCGAGGTGGTTTAAAACTAACATTTTCATTTAATTTGAGACACCTTCCTGCAGCAGAATCATTTCAGCCACACCAGTGGATATGTGATTGTTTTATAGGACATACAACAACTAGCAGGTCCACGTTCCAGCTGTTTTGTGCATCATAAATCTTTTACCCAGTTGTTCTGGACTCAGATTCATTATTCAGGTGGTGTTTTGCCCCTTTTTTCTTTCCTCCTGCTCTTTGTCCTGCAAACTGCTCTGTTTCTGCCACAGTTAATCCTCCTCAGAAAGCCATGGCTCACTACAGCACCGAGCCAGGTTAGGTTCAAACATCTGTACTCCCAATGCATCTGCTGAGGCATACTGTATATTCTATGTATGCATGTATTGCACAGTTGGATGAGACTGCCACCTAGCTGTCAGATATGAGCTGTGCCTTCAAATTAAACATGAATTGTACCCAATATCTCTCACAACTGTAGTAAACATAAAATAAAATCAATAAATATATCTTGTGTCCTATCTTTATGTGTTATGTTCAAAATATGTACATCCGGTGAGATTGATTGTCTAATTGTATCCATAACATACATTTTATACATTATTATTATGTTATTAAAGATATTACATCTTTAATAACATTTACACAAAATGTGTAACATTTATATATAATATAATACCTGTATTCTCCACTATATTAATGATGTCTCATTTTAACTCTGTGAACACATGAACATGTTTGGGAAATATGTAACTTATTACTATATCAAACATACATCGAAGAAAACTGAATAGACGATGTAGAATTGTATCAAATATGAGTGTTTACTAGTAATGAAAGAAAGGAATCAAGACTGTATGTTTGCCCTTTATTTAATGATGCAAAATATAAAATACAGAGCAAGAAAAGAAAACTATTTAAGATAAAGAAATCAAGCACAACATATAAGCGGTCGACCACTACTAACAAGAGCAGAGATAAATATCTATATACATAACATATACACAAATACTACTTTATAGTTTTGTAGTTTTTCTTTTTCTTTTAGAATTAAATATGAAATACATAAATAAATTAAAAGAGGGCGTCTGTTAGAATCTACAGGTGTGAATATGACATTAGTCACGGAAAAAATCAGAATCAGAATCGAATTTTTATGTTTCAGAAATACAT